GAGTGATGTGTGGAAGTCAAGAAAGTGCTTGTCTGAAATAGCATAAAAGTGGTTCTTGAGTGGTGTCTTTATGGAAAGATGGGAGTAAAGAATTTGATACTCAGTAAAGGGTGATGGGTAGAGGAGAAAATCCAAGAACCCCCCCCAAAAGGAGTGACAAATAGTTCATGTTTGATGTGAGAGGAGAGGGATGCCCAGCAAACTGCAGCAGAGAGAGCAGAGAACCTGGCCAAAGGTGCCAGCCAGAGGAATGGCCTTTGCCTTCCAGGTGGGGGTGGGTGAGAGAAGACTGAAATTCAGCTAAATGAGAGCCTTGCACTTCCAAAGGTCAGTAGGGGTGCACAATCTAGTAGCACCTGTGCCTCCATCAAAAACGTCACAAAATCTAGCTTTTATACACCCAGTATAATAAGCATAAGCGCATAAAGTATGATGTTAACAGAATCTGCCTGCACATGTTCATGTGGCTACACACTCCCTGTTTTGGAGCGAACTCTGTGCAGCCACAGGTACCTCCTGCCAGCTTACGTACTTCAGACAGTGGAGTGTGAGCAGCCCTCTCTCTGGGTAGGGTTCGCAGTGGCTGGAGGCAGCCTGGCTCCCTCCTCAGAGTCCTGTGAGGAACCCATAGCCTAAGTGTCCCTATGCATGTTGCATCCCTGCAGTACTCTTGGAGCTGGGGAACTTGCAACATGTCCACATGGGAGTTAAGTGCAGCAGCTACAGCTCTGGTCCTTCTCCTTCTTTCCCAAGCAGAGAGGTTTAGTACCTACAGACAAGTTCATCCTGTTCTGCCGTAAATTTTGAGATCTCAGGCGCCCTGATTATAGGTCACTTCCTGGAAGGAGGCAAAAAGTCCCAGTCTGTTTTTTCTGTCCCTAGGGCTCCTCATTAGTCTGAAGTTTAACTAGGAACTGGGTCCCATTTGCCAGCTCAATCTCCCAAGTGGCTCTTGAAGCCAGCAAACTTGCTAGCTAACAGGTTTGAGGCAAGCCACTAAAATCCTTGAGTCACACAGGGAGCAAGAGTAGAGCTGTTGAAAATAAAACACAAACCTGTGATAGAAGAAATGAAGTCTGAGTTGCACCAATGTACAGGAAAACTTCTGGGAAGAAACAAAAAAAAATGGAAAGAGACCCAGAGGTCATGCTGTTGAGATATTGAAGTGCTGGAGCAAGTGCAGAGGAGGGCAATGAAGCTGGTGAAGGGCCTGGAAGACAAATCATATGAGGACTGGTTGAAGGAGCTGGGACTGTTTAGTTTGAGGAAGAGGAGGCTGAGGGGAGACCTCATCACTCTCTACAACTACTTGAAAGGACACTGTAGAGAGGTTGGTGCTGGTCTCTTCTCACAGGTAATTAGTGACAGAACGAGAGGGAACGGCTTCAAGCTCCAACAGGGTAGGTTTAGACTGAACACTAGGAAGGAATTTTTCACAGAAAGAGTGGTCGGGCATTGGAACAGGCTGCCCAGGGAGGTGGTTGAGTCACCATCCCTGGATATGTTTAAGGGACGTTTAGATGCGGTACTGAGGGATATGGTGTAGGGGAGAACTTTGTAGAGTAGGGTAGGTGATTGGACCCAATGATCCCAAGGGTCTCTTCCAACCTAGATGATTCTATGAGATGGGCAAACAGCTCCTCTGTATTTTGTGAGGGCTTCCAAAAGCAGTAGTGCGTATGTATAGTTGACACAAAAAAACCCCAGTCACACTTACAGCCTGGTTTAAGCTGCAGGGGGGAACCTGGCCACCGAGCCTTTGGTGTCTGGCTCAGCCAGCTGGTCTGTGGGGAAGGACAAAGGGAGAGACCCATCTGGTGATTCAGAGCGCCTGGGTAAGGCTGGTTATGGAGGTGCTGGTAGAGTGGGCGTCTGAAGTGATGTGGTGTGAAGAAGCCTGAGCTCCCCAATGGGGTGATGTGCTAGAGCTTTGCAGCGGGGACGGTCACGTTTGCTGTACTCACTGTTTTACGGACTGGGCCAGAGGTGGGGAAGCATAAAGTGTTCAAGTGAGGAACAGGCAAGAAGCCAACAGAAAGAGGGGCATTCCCACCTCCCAGTCCTCTTTCTAAATGTCAGAGAGTGCTGTCTCTTTGTCTCTTGATAAGATTTTGTTTTTTAATGTGAGCAGTTGGACTGGAGCCCCTGCCCCAGGCCTGGTTGCCCAGTTTCCCTCCCCAGCAGCTGCACTGGCCCAGCCATCACCTTCCCCGGCAGCGCAGCCTGGAGCTCCCTGTGGCCCTGGCCGGCAGCCACCGGCACTCGGTGCAGGCCTGCTCACAAGGGAATTTACCTAGAAAATTTAAACAACAACAACAAAAAAGGGCTAAATGTGAACATATACTTGCTGTCCTGCTACCAAACAAGGGATCTAGTCTCCCTGCAAATGCAGTCCATAATATAAGGAAGCCTTCTTTGCCCTTTCCAGCTGAGGATGGAAAACCCCTGCTTATCATGATGCCTGTCACTGTCTTCTGTGGTTTGAACCATCGTCCACAGCTCAAAAAGATTCTGACAGATCGCTGAGATGATGGTGAAAACAAGCTACTTTTTACCTTCACTTCAGTTATTTGTCAAAAAAAAAAATAATCAGAAAAGTCAGTGGCATTTTGGAGGCACTTAATTAATTTGTGTCCTTATTTTCTCATATATGCTGATGGAGTTTTCCTCAGGCTCCACATTAGAGAAGCCTGCAAAGTGCTTGAGGGGTCTGCACTTGAATCCTTTTCATCTCCTGCTGTCGTTAAGTGGGCCTTTGCTGCAGGCTTACAGAGTCAGAGGAGCCGCACTGAGAGACCTTCTTAAAATATAACTATATTTAATAATAACAGAGGAAGTATAAACTCACCAGCCCGTTCAATTGCTTTTTATAGCAATGTTCTCCTGCACCAGTGTAAAAGTGCCACCCTTAAATACATTTAATCTTTTTCTGCTGGGAGTCACACTTTCCGAGTAGGATCTCAGTTGCCAGTGCTTGATTCACGGATTCACGAAGCTGCCAAGAGCAGAGGGGAGAGATTACTTTAAATTAAGAAATATATATTAAAAAAAAAAAAAACCCAAACCAAAAAAAACCCCAAAATCCAGTTGGGGTGTTTGTTTTCATATGTGAGTACTTTGGAGGTGTTGCCTTTTTCAAGAAGAACGTAATACTGAGAATGCAGAAAAAGTGTGTTCATCCAACATTTCACCTAATTAGCACACAAAAAAATCTAGGCCAAGGCCAAAGCCACGGGATTTAAAGCTCACACAGACTGAGATCCTGTGGGCTAACTATGTCCTGGACTTTTGGAGGGCAAAATAGGCGTTGCAGGATCTGCCAGGTGGCTAGCTGTGTGTACAGTTTGGCATGAAGGAGGGCAGTTTTGTGCCTTTAGTCTGAGCTTGCTGAATTTAATTCTCCTCCTTGTTATAGATCCCTGTTATCAGCTTGGGAAGCAACTTTCTCCGTTTGTGCCACAGCTCCTGACCTGTGAAGCAAATCTACAGCCCAGGGCTCTTTGTAGGATTAATTTTGTATTCAAGAAGGTGCCTGAATGAAATGCCAGGACGTTCAGATAGATGAATGTCAGAGTGCAGTAGCTCAGCTGAAAGACAGAAGAGGTTCTGATACCCAAGTGCAGACAACTCTTTCCCAAAATGAGCCTTCCTTTTGTGACACAAATAGGTGTAGTGTGGGCACTACAAGCGCCCAGCAGTAGGTACTGTCCTTATATAAATACAGATTATGTTTGTATTCCTTTTACTTTCTTTGGTTTTTTTTTCTTCATTTTCAATCAAATGTTTCCTCTGCTGGTCTCAGAATCTGTGGTAGAATGGAAAACAAATTTGATTTTTGGGAATTTTGTGAATATTTACATTTCCACATGTACCTCAAAGCAAATGTCTGTTTGGGGAGTGTCAGCTGGAGGTGCAGCAGACACACGCTGCAGTGAAGCGAAGCTTCTTGGAAAGGGTTTTTCAGAGGAGATTATCCACCAGGGGCTTCCAGAACAGAGAAATCACTATGGAAATCTGAGGAAATACTGCTCCTTGTCTTCCACAGCACTTGGCTTCGGGTGGTAAATGTTCCAGTCCTTTTCCCAGGCCAAGCCCAGCACCTGGTGCCATAAAGTGCCTCTGCAGAGGAGCTCACATGGTGTCCTTGGGGATACCATGCATTGTGTTAGAGCAGGCAGCCTACCTGGGTTTGCAGTAAGAGAGCTAGGACTGGAAATGGGGCCCTCATGAAAGATTTCAATTTCAAAGGGAGTCAGTTCTTTCCATAAAGTGGACACTTTTATTATGGCCAACAAACCTTTCAGAGATTTGGGATTTTTTTCGATGATTAATTCAATAGCCAGTTTAGTCCGATGAAGACCTTGTGCCTGCACCAGTGAGCATCCTGAGCGTAATGCAAACCTGGAGGCAGCACAGGGGAATATAGCAGGACACGGGTGCTTTTACAGCCCATGCAAGTGATTGCATTTGTCACAGACATAGTTCATGGTCGTTGAAAGGACAGTCACCGTCACACGGTCAGGAGGAGAGGGTAAATGACTGGAGCAGGGAGGCTGAGGTGGTTATGTCCCTTGCAGGCATTCCAAGAGTATTTCGTACTCAGGGTGGTTGGTGTCAGTTTTGGGAGGCGTAAATGAAGGAGTTTGCTTTTGTTGTGAAAGCATGGCTGGAGTCTGCAAGGGGACAGAATTGTTTTTACTGGGAAGAAAATATTCCCAAGCTACTTCTGAGGAAGCAGGAGGAAACCAGCCCACCAGTAGGACTTTGTCACCTAGTAGTGGTGATTTTGTTAGGCACCATGAGGAGCAGGAGGTGGTCCCCCTGACTGAGCAGAGGGATGGGAATGAGCCAAGGATGAGCAGCATTAGGAGTGGGGCACTGAAATGATCTGCTCAGCTGGAGGAGGGAGCTGTGCCCCCCTACCCATGTGAAGCCCTTGTTTGCTGTACTCAGTGCCTCTAAAATGCTGATCTTTTTAGCATCTGCTTTTGTATTTGCAGAACATCATCAAGAAAGTGATCGGGCAAAAATTTGTGTACAAATTTGTCTCCTTCCCTGAGATCTTAAAAATGGATCCACATGCTGTAGAAATCAGCAGAGAGAGCCTTTTGCTGCAGGACAGCGACTGTAAGATGCCTTCTGAGAGCAGGGATCAGCACAAGCACAGCTTGTCAGCACTGAAAAGCACAAGCCGAAATGAATATATCCACTCTGGCCTGTACTCCTCTTTCACTATCAACTCTCTGCAGAACCAGCCAGACCCTTACAAGCCAATCAAAACAGAAAAACTGGAGGAGAAGTCAGAAGGAAACACACCAGTGGAAGAAGTTCGGACTGTTATAAGATTTGTGACAAACAAAACAGACAAACAAGTTATGAGGCCCATGGTGTCGTTGCCTTCCACTTCCGAAACAGCAGCTGCCTCTGCTTTTCTCAGCTCGTCAGTATCAGCTAAAATATCTTCCTTAATGCTACCCAACAGTGCCAGCATTTCATCTCCGTCGTCGTCTTCCTCCAGGTCGCCGTCTCTGTCTCCCACCTCACCCCTCCCTACAGAACACAGGAGCCTCTTCCTTGAGTCCAGTTGCCACGACTCAGATTCCCTTGAGCCTCTGAACCTCTCCTCAGGCTCCAAGGCAAAATCTCCATCTCTTCCCCCAAAGGCTAAAAAACCCAAAGGCTTGGAAATCTCCGCCCCACCTATGGTTCTCTCCAGCACTGACATCGGTTCCATTGCCCTCAACAGCCCCGCGCTTCCTTCGGGATCCCTGACTCCAGCTTTCTTCACTGCACAGGTAAGACCTGCCTGTCTCTTGCTGTAGCCAGGTGTTGTCTCCGTGTGGCCAAGAGCGTTAGCTCTATGGGTCTGTCATCATCCGATGGGAAACATCTGGGGAAGAGGAACACATAGCAGAGGTCTGAACAAAGGGTGGAAAGTAGGTTCCTCCTGGGGTTCCTATGTGAGTGTGGGAAGTGCCACCACAGTTCACAGGCTGCCTGGAGGGATAACAAGATGAGCAGCCGTTAGTTAGCAGGAGTAAATTGCTTATCAGTTCAAACCAGCCTCCAGGTCTACAAAGCAAACAGGGAAAAGCGAATGAGAAAAACACAGGGGTTTTGTAGGTCATGACTTGCGGATGTGAATTGTGGGATGTTAGATTTCTCTTCCAGATGTTGTATCCCTTCAAACAGTGTGACTTTTTAATTAGTTTTTGTATATGGAACAAATTAAGTGGTTTCTAAGACAAAGCTCATAAGCCAGTTTCGATTTCCAAAGTTTTACAGATCCACAGAGTATTTGCCAGAGCTTCCTTTCAGCACAGACCTACTGAATAACCAGTAGGTTATTCCTTCTTTTTAATTACGTATTTGTGGTGATGTCAACGGTAAGTTCTCATTTTCAAGCAAGTCTATGAAAAAGATCTAGCAGTTCAGAGGAGAAGAGGAAGATCACATAAATAATTACCTGGTGTGTTCATTGGTGAGTTTTGTCTTACTCTACCACTGCAAAATTAGACAAAAAAATGCAAGAGTAAAATTATCCCAATGGGGAACGCCCCCTAACATTCCCCCCCACCCTGAAATAAAAGTTGGTGCAAATACTAGCATTGAATGAAAAAAACTGAACAACAAATAAATAAATACAAAGGTGTGTGTTACAAACTGTTGTTTACTTCGGGCTGTCTAGGGCCGCGTTATATGCAAAATCCCTTACCTCTTCCCTGTTTGAAAAGGTTTTGTGTGGATGATGCCTGTGGTGCAGCCAGTGTTAGAGGTCTTCGAGCTGGCTGCGGGCAGCATCGTGTGCCTTCACGGCACTAAGGCCTGGCAGAGGTGAGAGTGTCTCCTCCAGCTCAGCACTTGCTCTTACTGAGCTTTTTAGGTGGCTGCAGAGCAAGTTTGTGCAAAGCCACACCTGTAAGCCATCAAGATATGAGGTTGTGTCGCAAAGAAAGAGGATCTTGTGGGCCGTTATCTGTCATTTTTGACATTGTAATGTCTTTAAGTGAAGGTTATGTTTGGCAGGAGGAACAGAAGTGTGGCAAACCAAAATTGAGGTGCCTTGACAGACTCTTATAACCTCTAACTGTGGTATAACCACAGTAAGTATTTTGCTCATAGGGAGCAAATCTGACAAATAAATCGTATCAGATGCCAACCAGACACAACGACAGCATGAGTTATTACAAGCTCACTTTAATCTACTGTTGCTCCAAAACTCAGTGTAAACAGAAATTTCTTTCCTCATTTTGTAATTATTTCTTTGAACATTTAATTTTCTCATTCATCTATAAACTGGTGTGCTTACTGCCCCTGAAAGACATGGAAGTGAATTAGGTAGATGATTGTGGCCCTCCTTTAGCAGGATGCTGAGCTAAGGCCAGGATGACTGTTACCCAACTTAATGCAACTGCAAGTGTTTTTCTACAGGTTATGCTATCACAGAAGAGGCAGATGGCGCCCGTCTAGGGTTGTTCCTGGGCCCGTGCATTTAAACTTTTGGCTGTACAGCAACATAGCTTTTTTCCACTCTTTTAGCCTCCTATTTCTGGTGTGGATAAGAAGCACCCTGCATCCTAAATTCTTGACCTGGTGAATAAAAAAATGAAAGCTATATAACTGTGTTCAGATAACTGTAATAACACAATCCAGAATAACTAAAGCCATAATTTAGGCAGTTCATCCCATTATCCTAGGAGGAGCAATGCATCTTATCTCAAATGATCTCTGATTTATCAGATCCCAGTGGTAGACACCTGCTGCCATGGGGGGGTGGGCGCAGAACAGGATTGGCAGACACCAGTTGCTGCTCCAGGAGTGATGCAGGTTTGAAGAAGGTCCTGCCACCTGAGAGGGTATTTCAGACGACTTTCTGTTGTACGTGCTGGTCATGAGGAATACCATATGATAAGCACAACCAATTTTAGAACAGAAAAATGGGTTTGAAGATGTTGGTGCATACGGTACCAGACTTCGGTAGAGAAATGTCAGCTTTCCATTTGGTTAACTTCAAAGAGAGGTATTTGGATTTTGTTCAGTACTTGCTTCTTTTACAGGTTACTTCTGCTTGTTATTTTTGTTGACTCTCCCTTGGCCAATGTAGATATATATATTTTTTACTCACTCTTTTTCTTCAGGCCTCTACTTAGCATTTGTAATGTTTACAACATGCCGTTTCCTTATGGTCAAAGTAGTGTGCCTGCAGCCAGCACGTGCGTGGTCTGCATTGTATCCACATACACCATCCAGGCTCCAGCACGTGCCTAATGACCTGGGAAGTAACATACGTGTGACAGCACTTGTCCATTATCTGACAGCTAGAAGTGACAAGAAGGATTGTACTTACCCACATTCTTTGTCAGAGAAGTTGGGAGCCATGAGCATCGTTGCTTAACATAATCCTCTCTGTGCAATGAATTATTTCTATTTAAACTGTTCCTATGCTTAGATTATAATGACCTTTTTTTTAAGTAGGAACTTCCCACTGGGTTCCACATCTAATACCAGATGTACAGCTGCATGAGGGCAGAAAATGAAGTGACACATCAATTTCCGCGTGTAATTTAAGGATAGCCTGTGCTGTGGTGTTGTTTACACTTATGTTTCCTCTGGTGGTTTTGATGCTTGGCTGATGGTGATACTGAGAACGAGCCTGGGAGGCCCTCTGCTCTTCTTGCATTAAATATTAACAGATTTGGAGGCTTGCTCTGGCCGGCTCTTGGCTCTGGCAGAACTTGCAGACATTAGTGCTCTGATCATCAGAGGACATGAGCTTTTGCTGAGAACTGTTGGTAGGCACGTTAACGTGCTTCCAGAGATGAATGGAGGACAGCTCAGTTTCAAATCTCTCTCTCTGAAGGCTTGCTCTGGCTGTATCTAGGTAGGAATAAACACCTCCAAGCTTTCTTCATTATTTTCAGAAGACCCTCTCAAGAACTGCATTTTCGGTTCTGGGTATCTGCACCTTCTTAAAGAAAAAATAACCGAGGCATAGCTCATTGGAGCTCTTAGTACATTTGGCACAATCCTGTGTCCTTAGCTGAATGTTGTTTGGTCTGGCTGCTTACATCTTTGGTTTAAGGTTAGTAGGCTCTTCTGTAAGTAGATCTCTGAGTATTTATCCTGACCTAATTCGGTGTGTTGTCAGTCTCGTAAATCCCCATAAATGGCTGCCTGCCTGTGGAGCATCAGCTTGTAATGCGGCTGGAAAGGTGCTCTCACTGCTACTGCTGTTTTCCTGCCTCCTGAAAGCACCACGCTCTTGGGGAGAGGGTGTTTGTGAAGGAGTCATTCACAAGTGCCTGTTTGTCAAGTATTTTTTCTCAGATATCTTGACAAGAGCTGTCACTTGATGAGATCAAGACAGAAGTTCTCTCCTCACCAGGCCTCCATCCGCTCTTTGTCCCTTTTGTCATCATCCAAGTATATACAAACCCTGACCTCATTGGTTCTCCTGTGACCACCATACCTGCTGTTTACTGCTTTCCCAGCAATACCATGTGTTTATTACTTCTTGGGACATAACTGGTTTCTTCCATGGGGTTTGGGTTTTCTGATCCACCACCTTCAGCACAAGGGAGACGGCAGTGTCCTTTCCTTTTGCTTTTCTCCATGAACCCCACTTCTTTTGAGATTCCTTTGAGAAACCGTCCCCTTCAAGAGCAGCTAAGCTCTTTGTATTAAGCAGCCATTCAGGTACCTTGGGACAGAATCACTGGGAGGACCGTACTGTTTGCTGCTCCTTGTCTCTCCCATCTCTTCTGCTGGTGTTAAACTAACTGTTTGACCCCGTTGTGACCTCCAGAGCAAGCAAGTCAGAGCAGGTCTGTATTCCTGTGTGACTGCACAGAACCTCAGACACCACAGCTGATGCCTCAGGCACTGCTTTGCAAACAAGATGTCCCTCATATTTGAAAATCCACGTGGCTTGTGGCACCTGCCTTTCTGAGCCTGCTCACCGCAGAGTCCTGGCACCGGGCTGTGACAGCCCGTGGTGTCAGCAGTTGTTAAGCGAGACCCCTGGTTGCAATTGCCATATGTGGGAGTTTATATTTCTGGCCTGGTGGGAAGGCAGCGGGTACCAGAACGCATGACGTGCTGGTTACCAGGGCGACAGACTCCTTACCTTCCATCTTCCATCTTCTCTTTACATATTTTGAGCTCTGGACAAACTGATGCCCCAGGTCAGCAGAGCACCGAGGCCCGTGTCTACGCAGCGAAACGCACACTTGCTAAGCGTGCCCTCAAATTCCATTAAGTGCTTTGCTAAATAGGACTTATTTTGATAATTGGCATCAAGATTACTGGTGAGATTAACTCATTATGCCAAATACTTTGTTCAAAACTGTCACATCACTTTCATGTTCTTTTTTGGAAAGATAAAAGAATAATTCATGTGATTCTTCCTTTGAATGGAGATTTGCATGTGCTTTAACTCCACCTCCCCTCCAATTGTGCTTGGGAAGTGCTGAGAGCATTCCCAGCAATCCTTCTGCTCCGCGGCACTGGAAGGAGTCACCTCCGAGTTGGAAAAAGCCTTGGATTCTTAGTTCTTGCCATTTTGATTCCTCTCAAACAATTAGCTTGCTCTCTGCTGTCCCTCTGGGCACCCCAGCCATACCCCTGCCTCTTGCTGCATCAGTCGCAGGATATTCCAGCAATAGGATGAGGGGCAACGGGCTCAAGCTGGAACATGGAAAGTTCCATTCAAATATGAGGAAAAACTTCTTTAAGGTGAGGGTGACGGAGCCCTGGAACAGGCTGCCCAGGGAGGTTGTGGAGTCCCTTTCTCTGGAGATCTTCAAGACCCGCCTGGATGCTGTCCTTGAGTAATGTGCTCTGGGCAATCCTGCTTTAGCAGGGAGTTGGACTAGATGATCTCTAGAGGCCCCTTCCAACTCTGACAATTCCATGATTCCCTGAGTGTGGTTCAAAGAAACAATAACTGTGCTTCTCCTTAAGCAAATCACAATAGGAATGAGATCAATTTGCATACGAAGGAGTATTAAATGTGCAGGTATCCAGTACTGACCGCTGCGGAGACAGGATGCAGGGCTGGAGGGGCAGCTGCTGCTGGCGCGCTGCATGTCTGAATTCACTAGGAAAAAGAGCCAGTGGGTGAACTTTAGGGGCTGTGGTGACTGTATGGAGCTGTAACTGCCGAGGCATGCATCATGGGGTGGGTTTTTTTCTGTCTTGCAGACCCCGAATGGATTATTGCTGACCCCAAGCCCGCTGCTGTCTAGCATCCATTTCTGGAGCAGCCTCAGTCCTGTCGCTCCTCTGAGTCCTGCCAGGCTGCAGGGACCAAACACTCTGTTCCAGGTAGGTCTTTCCAATGCACAGTTTCATTTCTGAAAGCACACGTGTGGAAGAGACATGGGGGAGCATCTCCTCACATCGGTCTGGAGCTTTTCAAATAATTTAAGAAAATACAGGAGTTAACAGGCACTTTTAAAGGGAGGCCTACTTACTTGTACCTTCTTTAAACCCGTGGCACAATCAGAAACTCCAGGGCAGTGTCTGCTGCAGCAAGCACATACCTAGTGCGGGAAGGAAACAGAAATAAATGCTAAACTCCAGTAAGAGCAGGTAACTGAGCTCTAGGAGCTTCAGGAAGGGAGTGCAGACCAGTCAGGGACCAGCCAGAAGAGTGGTGGAACATGGACTCTGGGAAAACCAAGACCAGTTTGGGTCACATGCAGTAAGGTGGGTGTAGGTTTATCCTTCTGTCTTAATGAGCTACTTCTTGCTCAGAAAGACAGGACATAGTTGTATTTACAACAAGGGCACTCTGAACCTGAAGGCTCCATTTCCAGTTCTCATGCAAATTATCCATGTGTCCTCAACAAGTTACTTCATACCTCTGGGTTTGGTGTCTCCGTACGTAACAGGAGAAAGACAGCATTGTCCCCTCTCTCTTATGGGTACTGGGAGAGTAGAAGTCTCAAAGTTTTATAGAGATGTGGTAAATAGAAAAGTTATTAAGTAAACTGCAATGGCCACAGCACTCAGCTGCAGCCTTCACTGGAGGATTAGGAGGAGGAAGGTGGGGATGGTATTAGCAGCTCCAGCTGTAGCTGCTGTGAAACAGCTGATTCAGTTAAGTCACAGAAGAAATTATGCTCTTCAGCTGATTGGCAAGAAGCACAAAAAGCTGATGGCCATCTGAGCAGCTGGAGAATGCAGGAACACCCTTGGAATTAACTCCCTGACTGTTGTGGGCACTAACACAGGAGGGGGCTGCTGCTAGAATGGGATCCTTGTGTTGGTCTCTGAACCTTCAGGGAGACTGACTGCCCAACTTCAAGCACGGTCCTCGCTGGGATGGTAAGTCCTTCTACCTCCAGTGAGACAGCTGAGCATAGAGCCCCTAGGGCTTTATATTTGTGTTTCAGATAAATTAATTTATCCCTATGGGGTCTTAGTTTAGTACACGTGGTTAAAAACAGCCAGACACTGCATTTAAGAGGGAAGTGTCTGCCCCATGGCCTGGAATGTGCTTGGACGGACATACTCTAGCCACCCTCTGTGGGACCAGAAAATGGAGTGGCCTTAGCTCTGTCCCCTCTGGGAAACCCAGACCTCCCTCTATAAATTATGTCTTGTTCAGGCAAAGGCCACAATGACCAGTCTGCAGAGTGTAAAGCTTTATTTTAACAGCCATATAGGAAACGACAGCCACAGCTGAAGCCTGGTCAACCCCATGGAGAACTGCTGGGTCATCCTGCATAAGTGTCGGGGCAGAGCTCTCCCCGAGCTGCCCGCACAAGCCAACCCACACTCCAGGCACCTGGTCAGGGAACGGGGGAAGGAGCTGGAGCTGCTTCACTAGTTGCTTTTGCTTTCACCTGGTCCTTTGCAGTGGGAGTCAGAAGAACATTTGGTCATTGTTAAAACAGTCTCAATGCCTGCTGGATTGCATGGAGGAGAGATCAGGCTCCTACATTGTTTTTTCTTTCAGGTGTGTGCCACTTTTCACAACAGCATGATGCTTGGCACTGCCTACAGTTCTTTAGTACTAGTATTTGTATAAGTACAAGGACCAGGATGGGATCCATCCATATCCACAGTCCAGCTAAGCCCTGGACAAGCCTATGGGAAAGTATGGTCTCTCCATTAACAAACCAGGAATTTTTTCATAGAATCATAGGATGTTCTTCTGGACATTGAGCCATTGACCACTACCCTCAACCATCCAACCAATTTCTCATCCACCGAACAGTCCACCCATCAAGTCCATACCTCTCCAATTTAGAGAGAAGGATGTTTTGGGGGGCTGTTGTGGGGGACCGTGTCAAAGGCCTTCGAGAAGTCCAGATAGATGACCTCCATAGCTCTTCCCTTATTCGTGGATGTAGTCACTGCATCATAAAAGGCCACGAGGCTGGTCAGGCAGGACTTGCCCTGGGTGAAGCCGTGCTGGTTGTCTCAAATCACCTACCTGTCCTCCACGTGCCTTGGCATAGCTTCTAGGAAGATCTGTTCCCAGATCTTCCCAGGCACAAAGGTGAGTGCTGTTCTGGCACTGCTGGACACAACTACATACATACTCCCTCGTGGAGCATGTAGATGCTGATTAACTGGTAAAAACCTCCCCTTTGCTGCTTATGAGGTGACAGCAACTCACATACACCTTTGCCTGTGCACCCGTACAGCTCATTTAAAGCATCACTGGAATCTGCAGTCACCTTTCACACAATTTACCTTGATATATTGGCCATACCTGGAAAGTCTTGCCTTTGAAGCCACGCTGCTGTATAATTAAACTTACTTTGATGTTTCATCACTAGTTTGAAATTACCACATAACTGGAAGAGCAAGAGACTTGCACAGAATTGGTTAATTCATAAGAATGCAGCCAAACTTACGGACTACCAAGTTAGCTTGAATGAAGCGCTAGATAAATTGAGTGTATTTTCTTGGTTACTACTGTAGAGAGAATAGCACCGAGAGGGTGTAGTCAGGCCCCAGATCCCCACTGTTAACGGGGGCGTATGAATAAAGAGCATCGTCCCGGCCCCAGGGGCTACAGAGACAACAGGCAGAAGAACAAAAGAGCTGGGTTGGGCTGGAGACCAGGGCAAAGATGAACTCATGACATGAGCATTGTTTGGGTCTCGGGTCCTAGTGCCAGGATGCCACCCGCCTCCACAGACACCAAGGATCACACAACCCTCTCTTTGTTCGCTTTAGAAATCACATGGAACACCTCGTAATTTACATGTCTCGCTTCAGAAGCCCAGACTAGAAAAGCAAGAGCTTGTAATCAAGTTCTGTGCGTTAATGAATCTTGGCAGAAGTGGTGGAAACATTTCCTGAGGTCTGGTTGGGTTAAAACAGAGGCATCAGCCAGTCCCGGCCGTACCAGGAGTGTGGTGCCAGCCCCCAGCAGCTCGGCGTGATTTTCAACTGAATGTTGGAAGACAGATATCATTAACTAACATCTTCGTGGAAGAGTAATCCAGTTATAAGCTGATTACATGCACGTGGAGAGGTTGATGACACCACAGTTGGCTGTTGAAGGACTAATCTGATAAGGGGTAAAGAATACGCCGTACCCTTGAAGTCAGGAGCTCTGTTACCCAGCTCTGTCTCTCTCAAGCCAACAGAAACCCAGCGCGGAGCTTGTGGAACCAGGCCTGGAGGCCAGATTGGTATCTGCCACGGGGATAATTCCTGCCTCATGCTGCAGCAGGTTTATTCCACCTACTTGCCTTGCTTCTTCTCGGGTCAGACGTGAGAGAACTAGTCAATACACGTCACTGCAGGGAAGTTAGTCAGGATGCTGTCATGAACTAGGAATACACGGCTTATGTATCGAATTGGTATTTTTTTAACACAGTATTTCAGAAATAGAAGGTTAATACTAAATTACAACCTATTCTGCTTCACACACCGAGTGATGGTGCATACCCGGTTTACGCTTTCTTAGTGAATACAGAGAGAAACTGTAGTTACTTGAGAGTAATTTTCCCCGGTTTTGTATTCCCAATTGTACTTTTTCTGCCCTAAAAACCAGCATCTCGACTTTCACTTTTGCAAAGTTCTTTCCTGTTTACCTTTTCTGAAGGACAGATGAAAAGCATGGGTTTTAATTAATATTTTGTAGACTGAAAAACATTTTTTGAAGGAGAATGGATGGCAAACATGGCTCTAGAGGATTCGTTTTTCCCAGGGTGATGACAGATGTATTGTCATGTGAACTTTTTATATAAAATACAGCCAGTAATAGATTTACACATCCCCATAGGTTTCCAAATTATTCAGGTTTCGTTCTCTATTTTACATTCCTAATGACTGAGGCAGGCATTTGGGATGTATCTTCCTGTATAGGAATGACAAGCCTTGAAACCATCTGGAGTCGGCTGCTAATGCTAAATGCACGCGCTTCTGGGCTGAATGTTTGGAGATAAAGAGTAATTTTTACCTTTTGGCCTCTTAACAGTTTCCAACTCTGCTAAATGGTCACATACCAGTGCCGCTCCCCAGTCTGGACGGAGCCTCTTCTCCAGTACTGCTTTCTCCAAACGCTCAGAAATCCTGATGACGCCTCATCGCGCCAAGGACTTATTGGTGGATTTAACACTTCATTCCTATGGTCTAGTTTTTCCTGTGTCATGAGAAGGACATTGTGAAACCCTCTATTACTTTGGTTTGCACTTTTCATTACATGGATAATCTACTTTTATTATGTTAGCATTTTTAAACAGTGTTTATATATAAAAGTATACATAAATCTGTTTTGCATTAAATGAATTATAATTTTTTTATATCATAGCTCTCAAGTGTTGAACACTTCTGTTGTTGATGAAGTACTTTTCTTGATGGATTGCAACAATGTATCTAATAAGGATGTGAAGCTTCTTTTTAATCCCTTTTTCTGCATATTATGCACTGTGCTTGTGTAAACTATAACCGGCTGTGCCTTCTTTTGCATAATGTCATGTAAATGATTTATATATTTTCTAGTATTAAGATAAAAAGTTGAAAGACAAAACTAGTATTGGACAGCCCTATGGTAGTAGTTCAGTATTTTCTCCACGGATAGGCCATATGATGCAGTGTATTCATGTAACTTTGTATTAAGTGCTTTCCAATTGTATAAAAATAGCCTTATAATGTTTCTTTGCTGAAGTGAAAAACGTAATCAACGTTATGGTCAGGAGCTGCATTTAGGGAGTAACAAAACCACGCGTGCCCAAGTTCTTCTGTGGAGTGGCGAGAGGGAGGAACTGGGCTGTGTGTGTCCATGAGACACTTCCAGCATTTGAGAGTACTTCTGTAGAAAAGGAGAAGACGTTGCTGAGAATTTATTTGGCCTATATACTTCTTACAGACTGTCAACATTACAGCTGGAAAGACTGCCACTATCTCTGTCCTCCCCGGGAATGAGGGTCATTCCCGATAGAGAAGTTCCAGGTGCTTTGTTCAGTCGTGCCAAGTGCCTTCTGCTCTTTCCCCACAAAGCTTGTTCTAGCTACTAAAGCTCAGAAGGTCGTGTTTCCCCTTCCCCCCCACCTCCCAAAGCTGGAAGAGTTACAGGAGTGTAAATTAATGCCTGGTGCTTGTAAAGAGGCATACTGTACGGGCGGGATGTTTATGTATAAACATCTGAATTCTGGATTAAAAACCAGCACTGTGTTACTATATACTTGCAACTTGAACTCACTGGGTATGTCCTCTACCTTGAGGTGATGCCTTAGTCATCTTAAATGTCAGGTTAGGATTAGGCCAGACTCGCTGGCACCACAGATTCTAATCTTGGCAGGGTTGATGCAAATCTTCAGTTGTCTGAGGTGGCTAAATTGGGTTGAACGCAGCTTTACCATGTAGGTTTTTCAGATGAGACTTTCAAAAACCAAACCAAAATCAGAATCCTGTTTGCTGCAGGTCATCAGAGCTTCTACTTTGCTTTCTGGCCAAGCGGCTGGTCAAAGTCCGTTCTTTTTGAAACTTCTGCGGTGAGTCGTCTGTTGATGTTCTGTTTGGATGCATTTCAGTGATGTGTGTGTAGTTAATTGTAAAGTGCTTTTGGATCCTTCAACCTGAAAGGTGCTAAATAAACATTTTATTAATGCAGTTCTGATGTTCAAAAAGCCATTTTTGGGGCAGAGGTAGCCTGACAAAAAGATAGCAGGAACTTTCCTCAGGCTCCTGGGTTGCACAACCAAAAATGACTCCTCAGTTTCACTCGTAGCAATTAACGGGATAAAAACCTGCCATATCTGTGTGAAGTACCAGTGCTGATAAACACAGCAATTAGCTGCAAGAGAGAAGGAAAAAGAATGAAACACATGGGAAGTCATTCACTCGATTCAGCATTTTAAGAGCTCCAAGAGGTACCACCCCCCACAGAGTAAAAACCAGAAGATGAACCGATGCAAAATCTAGGAGTGAAGGGAAATTTTATGCCAAGTGAAATCAGAGTAGGTTGGGGGAAAAGGCGGCAGGGGATGCCTGATGGGGTTGACTAATCTGGTGGAGATGAAATCACAAGGGCTCGCGGGTCAAACATTTCTCTTTCAGTGGATTCCTCTCAGGTAAATGGGATTTTTTTTCAGTAACTAAGTTACAGAGAGGCAATTACGCTCTAGAGCCAACTCTCCTCTCACTTTTATGTAAGTATGAACGCCAACTTCAGTGCAGTCTCGCCTTCCGCACACCAGTTCCGCTACCGGGAGAACAAGGCACAGAGATGAAGCATTTCTCACCAGGAGTTTAAAAAGTAAAGACAGATACTCATGCAAATTTGGTCTTTGACTTAGTAAGAAGTACTGAATACCACACTGCAAAAAAACTCCGGGTGAAGATCAGAGGAGGGAGTGTGTGACACAGAAGAGATGCTTAAAAGAAAAAGCATCCAGATTCTTGTGACTTCGTCTCTTCTAAAGTTTTACTATTAATAAGGCAGACTTTTTGCTTTTCAAAAGGCTCCACACGCCTCAACACACATCCCCATCTTCTCTCCCACCCTTTGAGTGACTTTGTTTTTCTTTTAAAGACAGCAGAAGATAGCAATTCTGTGATGACAAAAAAAAGAAAAAAAATAAAAAATAAATCTATTTCAACAAATTACTGTAAAGGATCCAAGAAAATCCAGTAAAACTTAAGGGAAGACACCTAGAAACAAGAAAGCGGTGCTGTCGTCTTATCTTCAAGAGAATAAAAAATAGCAATAGAACACTTCTTCTTTTGCTAGGTGACTTTTCCATTAAAAAAAAAAAAAAAAAGTTTGTCAAAATGAAATCTGCCTTCCATATTGGTCAATTATGTGGAATTCCTCCTACTGGGAAGAATTTCTACAAATAAAGTCCAGCCTCTTAATTCTGAACACTTACCTAAACCACTAAATTATTATGCCTTATACTTCGAAGAAAATATTTTATTGGTAATTTTGTATTGAATTTTATTTATGAGTATCTTTTTAACTGTAGAGAAACATCCACTAAATGTTTGTAAAACAACTGCTGTGGAAGTGTGCCATTCCTGCAGCACGGAGAGCTCCAGGACAACAATCCCAGGGAACAAAACTGGAGTTATTCTCACTTCAGTATTCCTGGTAGTAATTGTGATTAGATGATACTTGAGGGATTTGGGGGATAGATTTACACTTCACTCATGCTGCAGCAATACAGAAAGTTTTCAACGTTCTATAGACTGGGTGCACAATCAGGCTAGTTTTGGCTTACCTTTACGTTGTTTTTTCAGAAAAAGGCAAGTATCCACCAGTAGGGCCATCGCTACTGGGCAGCTTTGCCAAGAGATTGCCCACACCTTCTGCCCTGGCACAGGTAAGTAAGTGGCCTCTGTTCTAAAGAATAATTTCAAGGTGGGGAACAACCAGCTACAGAAAGCGAGAGATCTGACACGCTTCCATTACGTCAACAAAGAATAATTTGTTTTGTCTGAAGAAAAGGAGTCTCATCAGAGAGACGCTTGCCAATCTGGAAATACCTACTGAAGAAGTAATGAACTGTCAACAAGATGACTGTTTAAAAGGGGAAACAGTCATTTAAAACAGACTATAGCATTTCATTTTAACAGAACGAGTCTCTAAGAGGCTGTATGGCCTTGTGCCCATAGGAAGAATCTTTAGAAGCCATCACGGCCACCAAATTAATTTAGAAACACAGTACACAGGTTGTCTTTTACATAAGGGCATCGCTGTTCCCTTCTGATCTTGAGACTGTCTCTAGATCCTGTGGGGTAAACACACACAGGTCTCTCAGATTTAAGAATACCTCTATGAAGCAACCAGAAAACAACAACTTTTGAAATCCCTTTTCGCTCCAAACTGTAACTGCCCTTACCAATTAATACACAAGCACTCTCCCTACACAGACGGAGCACAGACCTGTTTCTGGAGGGCACAGAGATTGACAGCATTAGTGAGGAGGAGTATAAATTTATTTAAATGAAAAAAGGAGAATGAACCTCAGGCAAGGACTCTGGAGCAATCAGCATCACGGCCTGCCTTGGGTGGGTGGAGGGGGGTATTTGTAGAAAAGCATCCTAGAGGGCTCTGGAATACATTGGATTTTTTCTTGACAGATTTGCATCAGTTCATGTTCACTCTGCAAGAAGTGCGAATGGATAAATATACCCTTAATTATTCCTACCATGGCTCCAGGCCACCTGCTGCCTCCTGCAAATTAAGGAAAAGGACATGGAAGAAGGGAAAAAAAAAAAAGTCTTTGAAAAAACAAGCTTGGGGTGTGAAGGAGGAGGAGGCGGCAGCGCTGAGGCTGCCGTGCAGGGCCTGGAGGAAGGTGTTCCGCGGGGACACGTTGGAGAGGGGGTAGGGAAGAGCCTTCTCCCCCATTTGCAACCCTCAGTGATGGCATTTCCATCAGCAAGAAGACCTCACTGCAGCAAATGGAGGAACTTCATCGCTCTCTGGGGAAAAATGTGTTTCCAGGTACAGCATCGGAGCTGAACAGGACTCGTATTTCATTAGGGCCATAAAAGCAGCCTCCTCAGGCCGGCCGGCTTCTTCAGCCCTTCTGGAGGATGCAGCCAGGACAATAAATTAAGCAGGTATTTCCCACAGTAAGTATGTGCGTATGTGCACATTCACAGTTAAAGTTGGCTCAAAAATTACAGGACTTAAATGAGTAGAGGGATTTTAGAAAACATGGAAAATAATGGAAAATTGTAATGTTCACATTTTTCCACTGACATCAATCTTTTCCTTTCAGTTAACGAGAGAGGTGCAGCACAGCCCAGTGAAAATCACACACAAAAGATGAAAAAAAAATAATAATCTAGAATAGCTAAACTCTAATCCCAGTTCTGACAACACGAATTTCTACTCTGGCCTAGAGAAGAGTGTGTTTTCTCCACAGCTGGAAAGGCTGTGTGCCAGGAATTACAAAGCCCATGTTATCCACTTGGCTTTTACATTTTTCAAAATCATCCCACCTGTACCGTCAGAGCTTATTTTGCAATGTACAGATTACACACTTGTTCAGTGCTTCCTTTATGTTTTATAACCTATGCTTGTTATTTTGTCAGTCTCTTAAACTGGTCTGACGTGGATGTTGGGGAGGTATATGGATGTTGCTGACCCACACATAGGCCAAAGAGTAGCATTCAATCTCTAACAGCCCAGTCTCTGAAATGGAAAAAAATGGGAAAAAAAAAAAAAAAAAAGAAAAAAAAAAAAAAAAAAAAAGCCAGGGAGGAATCTTCCAGCACAAAAACCCCGTCCCTTAAAAGGAAAAAAAGTGGAAAAAAAAAAAAAAAAAAATCTGTAAAAAGAAGCATTCAAGTTCCTCCCCAAATTTAAGAAATTTCACTGAAATGTTGCATTTGTTTCAAAGCCAAACATTACTAAGGGAAAAAAAACCATGGTAACAAGGTGCACAAGTGTCTTCAACTCTGCCCCTTAGTGATCAGATAAAATCAAATGTCTGTGACCCCACATTATCATAGATAAAGTAAATTTGAATTTTTCTTCAGTGTCACTATAGACTACAGCCATGCATTTCCATACCCTATTTTTTTTCTTTCAACTCTGACCTTAATTCTGGGTATTTCCTGGTTTTACAATACTTAGCTTGGGGATATTTACAACGTACCTTTCATATATTTTGTCCTCAATAACCGAATGTATTCTTAACCTTAATTCCCTCTTAACGTTGCAAAACAGAAACAATGTACCTTTATTAAATTGACAAACTCATGCGCAGACAACAAGCGAGCAGCCCAGAGAGCGTGCCACCTTGCAGTTTTCCCAAATGATTTGCAAATACAAAGTGCGTTGATTCTTTAATAACTGTTTATTTTCACTTTTATTGCCCAGTTCAGGGATACACTCTGGCTACTCAATGCTGTGGTAAAGCAGCACAACGATAAACACAGCCGTGTTGAGATGCACGTTCCACCGGAGCATTGCTGAGCAGCGGGTTTGCCCCTTCCCTCTCCTGCCAATCCCCGTCCTCCTCCCACCCTCTCTCCCCACTTCGGCCTCCACCTTCCTCATGTGCACCCAACCTCATCGCCACCTGCCTCCTCCTCCTCCCTGCCTTCAAGCCCACCTTATTCCTCCATGCACCTACACAAGTGCCTGGGCGTTCCTACCATGTGGTAGATGGGGTACGCCAGGTATCTTCCAAAAAAATAACTACTTAAAATCAGCAACAACTTGCAGGCCATTTCTCGTTAACTCATCGCTCATCTTCAACCAAAGGCTGTCACACCAAATCGTGAAAGTCATCCATTTTTAGCAACCACCTGCTTGGTTTGAGGTCTTCTCCCCAAAAGGGCCAACGCTCCCCTACTACAGGGCTTGGGGACAGCGAAACCAAGCCCGTAGCGGGCAGACGGGAGGCAGAACACGTAATTGCACGAAAAAGATGTCAGAGAAATGCCCAGCAACTGCAAACTTGCCGACTACTGCCCCAAACAGGCAGCTGCCACAGAACTGTTGCTGCTGATGCAGGAATTTCAATTATAAGCAATTAAAAAAAAAAAAAAATAAAGGAAGAAACTGGCTTGACCACAGATGCCAAGTTTCATAAGAAATACATTCTTTAAAGCTACCTCCTAATGAAGAAAATCAATTCACTTGTAGGTCT